GGCGGTCTCGGGTGGGTCGCGGCGGGGTCCCGAACGCGCGTCGCAGGCCTGGGGCTCTGAGCACGGCCCAGCCGGACGAGACCCCCAACTCCGGCCTCCGCCGCAGGCCTCAGCCGCCCCCTTCTCCCAACCAAAGGTGCTCTGTGGCTGGAGGGTCCTCGGCCCGGGCCCCCAGTGCCTTCCAGTCCGACCTCCCGAGGCCCGAGCCTCGCCCCCCGCTGGTCAGGCCGCGTCCCCTCCCTCCCAGTGCATCGGTGTCTCCACGGCCGCCCGGGCCCGTTCCCATTCCTTAGTCAGGGAGCGGGGCTCCAAACCAGGGCTGGGGGTGAGGGAGGCTGGGCGCATAGCCGCTGGTCCTCAGTTTCCCCTTCTTGTAAGCCGGACGGGTGGCGCACGCCTGTACTCTCAGCACTCGGGAGGCTGAGGCAGGAGGATCCTTGTGAGTTCAAGAACAGCCTGGGCTACAAAGTGAGCTTAAGGCCAGCCTGAGCTGCATAGTGAGACCCTGTCTCAAAAAGACAAAAAAAAGAAAAAAAAGTGTTTGCTTAGTTCTTCTTGAAGACAGTTCGGGATTGCGGGTGAGAAGGAAGGCGGAGCCTGGTCATAACAATAACAATGAGTAGTAAATGGCCGGAGAGCTCCCGCCAGGGGTGCGGCAGAGGTTGATCAGTAACCAGAAGTGGGTGGGATGCTGCGGAAAGGCCCAGAAATAGCGTCTGTCACCAATGCTCCAGCCAGGGTGGAAAGACCATTCCGGCTGTGACAGGCCAGGCTGTGCTTGTGTCTTGCTTTGGTAGTGTTTGATTTAGAAAGAAATCCCAGGGTGGGCTGGGGATATAGCTCAGCTGCACAGCACCTGCCTGACAAGCGCAAGGCCTTTAGTTCGATTCCAGGTACCGAAAATAAGAAAAATCCCAGGGAGCTATTAGCAGACGCCACTCACCCATCTGTGGGTTCTGGTGCTCCTGGGCTGGCCGAGGTAACCCCGACCCTGGGTACCAGTGTTTACAGAGGGGGCTTGCCTGTGGACTCGCGTTTGCCCAGGGAGGTGCTCTCAGTGCATTGCATTCTGCCCCGCCCGGCAGAGCCCGAGCCAGGAAGTACTGCGGCTCTGCAGAGCAGCACCACTGATCCACACCCAGGGCTCTGGCAGACCCAGGAGTGTTGATTCTTGTGTCAGGCCTGTGCTAAGTGATGCCACCCTCCCTGGGGCAGCCTTGGGGGACAGGAACTAGTATTCTCTCCATTGTACAGATGGCAAAACTCAGGTACCCCAAAGTGACTTTCTGGGGTCCCACAAACGTAACAGCAGCTGGGGCTGGAACCCTAAGGCTGTCTGGCTCTTACATGCCAGTCCTCCTTCCTCTGCCTGGCACTGACCCTCATGGCATCTGGCTTCTTTCCCAGGCCTCACTTTTGCTTTCGGAAATCTCAGACACACAGCAGCCGGATCTAAGATGTGTCAGCAGCCCAGGCCCAGCTCGGATCACCAGTGGAGTTTACTCAGGAGTAACCTGACGGCCAGCTGAGCGGGGCGTCCGTCTGCCCTGTGAGGTGAGGACTCTGGCTCCTATCCTGGAGCTCAGTAGAGAAAGGCCAGTCAGGGTGCAAGAGGGGCTTGTCCCTCCCAGACCGAGGGCTGCGAGGTCTGCCTCCACGACACACCGTGAGGGACGGGAGCTCCAGTGACTGGTGCTCAAATGACTTGCAGCCGTGGCCTGGAGGAAGGGGGGCCCGCTCAGCCCTTGCCCCCTGCATCTGCAGTCCTGGGGGGGGGTCTGTGGATAAGAGTAGAGGGTCCGAGGGTGGCTCGACCACGGATCCACCCACCTCTGCCCATGGAGATCTGGAGTGGCCAGGGCCCAGCCTGGGTTCAGAACCTCCCTCCCGGTCCCCAGGCAGACTCAAAGCTGGCCCTGATGTCGCTCCCCAACCCCTTCCGGCTGCTGAGGGGTGGTGGGGCACACAGGGCAGCCATGAGTATTCCTGGTACCTTCTGGGCACGACACCTCCCTCACCATGCTGGGCTGTTAGGGCTCCTCCCCCAGGGAAGCAAGTCCGCTCAGCGCTGCCCTTCCTCACCGCTGTTCTGAAGGCCCACAGTGCCTCGGCGAGCCTGGGCTCTGGGCCCTCCTTTCCACAGGAGCGGCCGTGTGACACTTCAGCTCGGTTTCCCTTGTTTACCTCCTCCTTTTTTTCTTTTTCTTTTTCTTTTTCTTTTTCTTACACATGTAATAAATGAGTCTTTCAAATCTAGACCATTGCAGAAGGAACCAGGGTGACAGGACACGGGAGACAGGGCCTCCCCGACCACACCCCTGCCGGCCGAGCCAGCCTCCCAGCAGGGTGGCCCAGCTGTCAACTCCAGGCTCCTTTCCCTTCTTCCAGGGTTCGCCTTTGTGACTTGAGACCAAGCCCTGCCCTTGTCCGAGCGAGCACTGTGGTGGGGGACTGAGAGACAAGCAGGACAATCCCATCAGCCTGTCTGGCCTCAGCTGGCCCCGCACAGAGGGGAAGCAGAGGCAGGCTGGCTTCCAGCGCCTCTCACCCCTGTCCGGCCAGTCATCTCGGTGTGCTCACATCGCCCGGGTTTATCACGGCCCGTGCTGTTGTGCAGCAAATCCTTCCCCCTCTAGGCCTCAGTCCTGCACTACAGACCATTTCCGAGGCCCAGAGCCTGTCTATCAGTGCCGTTTACATGCAGTACAGCAGTTTTCCTGCTCAGAATGGGAAGGAGCTGTGAGCATTCGGTCAAGTGTTGGGGGCAGTCAGGGAACGGTGGGAAGCAGCCCTCACCCCCAGCTGCAGGAAATGCTGGCCGCAAAGCCTGGTCTACAGTAAGGAGAATCCAGGAGATTCCTGAAAGCTGGTTTGAGGGAAGCACTGGACAGACCCATTAGGGCTTTGCCAGCAGCGATGTCCCAAGCCAGGGCCCACCCGGAGCAGCACAGGCACTGCGGTGACTGGTATAGGTACACAGAGCACAGGACCCAAGTGCCAGGAGGACTCTGACATTCACCCCATCCTGCTTCCCGGTGGCCGTAGGACCCTGGTGCACTGGCACCTGCTGAAAAGGAAGAAAGAGGCTGAGCAGAGCTGGCTGTCCGTCCCCTCTGACAGGGTTCCTCCGTCGGCGGAGATCGAAGCTTGCTTGTCCGTGACAAGCACGGTTCCTAGCACAGCAAACCCTCCCAGCACAGGCCAGGCTCCCAGCTCTGCCCCAGTCCCACCCCACCCCCCACAGCCTGTGGGCCCGTGGGTCCCCATGCTGCAGTTTTGTGGCCTGCTCAGGCTCCCCTGTATGTGCAGAGATCCTGGCAGAGAGAGTGAGCCCCTCACCTTCGCAATCTGCAGCAGAGAAGCAGCGGTTGATAAATTAGATAGGTCAGACGAGTTGGCACTGGTGGCCCCTCAAGCCCTACAACAGATTCTGGATTCTAGAAATGAAAGACAGAGTCTGGGCTCACAGCAGTGTCCCGGCTGGAACCAGGGAACGGCTCACCTGTGCCCTTGGAGGCCTTGGGGTCTGCAAGGGAAGGCTGAGGACAGGCGAATCCAGCCCGGCAGGCAGCTCAGCCAACTGGCTGCAGCTGGTGTGGGCCCAGGCAGTGTGGAGAGAGCGGTGTGCTGGGCCTGCGTCTCCTTTTCCACTTATTGGAGCAAGAGCTCCCATCTCTCTTCTCCAACGCCTCTCTCACCCTCGGAGGCAGGCCTGCTGCCCTGTCCACAGCCAGTCATGTGTTTGTTACCTGGGACAGTGACCCAGTCTCCCTGCTTCTAAACGCTGCGGTACCAGCCGTGAGGCAGCAGCTGGTGGGGGCCTGCCACAGTGTCCGTGCACACAAAGTGCCCACCACCCCCTTGATAAACGAATCTGGAGAAGCTGGTTGGCCTGCACATTCCCCGAGTCGCAGCACCTGCCCACAGCCTGGCACGTGCCAGCCTTCAGGAGTGCCTTGGAAACCAAAAAGGGGTGGAGCATCAGGCCCAGGGTTGGGCAAGCTTTCCTGAGAACCCTTGTGTTCCCCTCGGGTGGCATGCTGTCTCCGAGGCCAGCTCATCTGAGCTGACCCCATGGCCCGGGGCGCAGAGCAAGCTGAGTATCAGGGCTCAGCATCTGGCAAGCACGTTAGCGTGCGGGAGGCTCCCACCCCTTGGCCTGCCCCCCAGGTGCCAGGTGCCCATGGCTCACGCCCCTCCAGAGCACAGCCCTTCAAGGCTGCTGCTTTGGGGCGCCCCACGCTGGCTGTCACCTCAGGCCCTTTGTACTCACCATTCCCGACGCGCTATGTGCTCCCTCCTGTTTGAGAGTCTTGGCTCAAATGGCACCTCCTCAGAGAGGCCCCACCTAACCACTACGGCTCCGTCATGCCATTGCTTACACTTGTGGTGTGGCTCTTTCTCTATGTCTTCATTTTCTGGTTAATTGTATTCAGCCTGCTCAGTTTTCTTTTACATTTTTTATAAGTACTTACGGAATGCACACTACGTGCAAGGCATTGCACCAAGGTGCTAGGAATGGAGAAGTGGACAAAACCGATCTCTCACGTCAAGAAGTGTGTTTTCGGTTGCTGGGGGAGGATAGGGTGTTGTCCTTCGTACTCGCAGGTGGCAGTGGGGTCTGTGAAGGGCACAGGGCAGATGGGCGAACAGACCGGGATGGGTGTCTCCCCCACCGGCGCCGATACGGCCTGCCCTGGACTTCACTGCCCTTGGGGATTCTCAGAGCTCTCTGCAGTGAGGAGTGGAGCTTTGCTCTGCTCTCACCTGATATAGTTTAGTAAGATTTCAGCTGCAAACATTAAATCATTCCCATGCCCGCCAGGAAGGCTTTGGTGGTTCCTCGTAAACGTGCTGTATATTGTTTAGGGCTCAGGGACACCGAGTGCATGGGCATACGCTCGACTCGGTGTAAACAGCTTTCAGACAGAGCTGTCTGCAGAAATAATGTACTGTTCTGGAAGGCAGGAAGTTTCCCTCCCTGGGAAGAGGTCGCAGGCCCCATCCGAGGTTTACGAGTCCACGTTCCCTGTGAGCTTCCGACCTCCCCCGAGTCTCTGGGCAGACAGGTGAGTGCACACTCCCAGCTTCTGGAAGCTCACACGCTCCGGGTGGGTAGGCTGCTGCCCACCGGTGGGGCACCCCAGGGCACTGGGAAAAGTCCCGCCTCTCCCCTTGGGGGCTCCTGACTTCTAGCCTGGCACTTTGGGCTTCAGTACCTAAAAAACAAACACACTTTCTGGCTTAGACGGCCACTCAGGGCGAAGCTTAGTGAAGGCCAGAATAAAAGGGGCAGCGCGAGGCTCGGTCCCTGCCAGTGTCAGGAGCCGGTGGTCTCACCTGTGGGCTCTTGTGCCATTTGGACTGGCTGGCTCTGCACCCCACAAAAGGCTGTGCAAAGACTGGTCACAGCAGCAGCCTGCAGGCGACAAGCTGGGGAGCCCATGGATGGTGACACGGCAGGACAACAGTGAGGAGCCTCGGTGGTGCTGGAGCAGGGCTTGCCTGAGGCTCTCAATTTCTTAAGGAACCGCTTTGAGTCCTATCTTTGCACTGTTTGTATGAGTTAAAAATGGTCAAACTGGCCGGGCGTGGTGGCACATGCCTGTAATCCCAGCACTCAGGAAGCTGAGGCAGGAGGATTGCTGTGAGTTTGAGGACAGCGTAGGCTACACACAGTGAGTTCAAGCTCAGCCTGAAGTACATAGTGAGACCCTGCCTCACAAAAGCAAAACAAAAACAAAAAAAGAAAAGGAAATGGTTGTGCATGGTCCCTCTCATGTGGTTCCACTTGGCGTACCTTAGCTCCAGCAGGACACACAGATCCAAAGCTGAGCAGGAGGAAGTCCATGAGTACCCACACCTGCTTAACTCCCCTCTCACAGCATGGGCGGGCCTAAGCCCCTGAGCGGCCTTTGGGTCCCCACCCAGACAGCCCCTCTCCTGATTAGGCTGGCTTCTATTGCACAGGTCTGTGACACCCACCCGACTACCAGCTGTGTCCTTTTCCTCGCTGCAGAGGAGCCCATGGCGTGTGGGTGGTGCTACTGATGGAGGCCTGGGCTGCAAGGAAGCAAACTGCTAGGCAGGGGGTCTGGGCTCTGGGCTCCTCAGCATTCTCCGCTGGGAGCACCAAGGGAGCCCCACTGGATCCCGGGGAACACAGGGACACAGAGTCACGCAGAGCCTCGGGCAGCCCTGCTGCCGTGAGGACTAACCCTGAAGGCTTCTCTGTCCCGTGCCCACCTCACAGCCTCCCACCTCCCCCGCTGTTGTCTGCATCCAGAGTGTCCTTCAAAGGCCCGTGTGTGGAAGGTGTGGGCCCCTTCTACGGTGCTGTAGGGATAATGGGCCTCAAGCACATGGGCCTTGGTTGGAGGAACTGGGTCACTGGGCTCACGCGCTTGGAGGGGATCCTGGAGTCACAGCTTTTCCTCCCTGCCATGTGCAACCACCATGATGTACTGTCACCATTGGCCCAAAGTATCACGCAATCATAGATGGAAAGCTCCAAAACCAGGAGCCAAGATAAACCTTTCTTTTAAGTAAGTTCACCATCGGCATTTTGTTACAGTAGTGGAACGCTGACTAACACAACTCCCACTGATTGTGCAAATACACAATTTCCTATAGTCCCAGGGAACTCACCATGAGACAGGAGTAGAAATGGCCAGCCAGTAGATCAGCAGTAAATAAGTTGATGTTGATTTTTTTAAAGGTCATTGAGATGAGACTGTAAAATAATGCAGATACTGTGGAAAACATTCTTGCAGTTACTTCAAATGTCAAACATGAGTTACCACGTGGCCCAGCAATTCCACTCCTAGGCAGATACCCAGAAGAAATGAAACACATCCACATAACAACTGTACATAGAGGTTCACAGCAGTATTACTCACGATAACCTGAAGGTAGAAACAACGCAAGTGTCCATCAACTGACGAATGGATAAACACAATGTGGTCCATCCATACAATGACATATTTGTAGCAAGAAGGAAAGAGGTATCACTATGGCTTGAAGGTCCCCCCAAAACACAGTGACATTTAATCCCCATGGGAGGTATCGGAAACTGGAAACTTGATCTGACTAAGTGTTCGGAGGGGGAGCCTTTGGGAAGTAGTGTAGGTTAAATGAGGCCTGTAGTCCAAGGGGCCTGTGATTCTGTGAGAAGAGAAGGAAAGATGTGAATCAGAATATCTCACGGCGTGATGCTTGGCACCACCTTGGGACTCCAAAGAGGCTTTGCTGGCTGGGAAGACCTCACTGGATATGACCTTACTGCATATGACCTCACCGAACATGGCCACCTGCTGTGGTTTGAAGGTCACATGTCCCCCAGAGGCTTGCGTTAAAGGCTGGGCCCCAGGCTGGTGCAGTGTGAGGTAGTGGAGCCTTTAAGAAGTGCAGCCACCTGGGAGGTCTTTAGGTCATTAAGGGTGTTCCCTTGAAGGGGACTATTGGACCCTGACCTTGCCTTCATTCTCTGCTTCCCGGTGATGAGCTGAGATGCCCATCAGTCACGATGTGCTGTCTGCCAAAGTTCCAAAGCAACAGGACCAACTGATCTTGGACAGGAAGCTCTACGACCATGAGCCAAGTAACCCTTTTGTCTTTGTTGTCTAGGTATTTTGTGCTAGTGACAGAGGGCTGACTAACTGCCCGGCCTGGAACTTCCCAGCCTTCAGAGCCATTGGCCAATTAAACCTTTATTTATAATCTGTGATGTTCTGTTATGGTAACAAAAACGCAGACCAAAACATGACTGATGCATGGTAGGACATGGCTGATCTTCAAAGACAATGCTGGGCTAAGGGTGTGGCAGAGCACTTGCCTGGCATGTGCAAGGCCCTGGTTCAATCTCCAGCACTGAAAAGAAAAGACATTATACTAAGTGAAAAACCAAACACAAGAAGGCAAGTAGTGTACTGTGATTCCGTTTATATGAAATGTCCAGAAGACAAACCCAGGGACAGAAAGCAGAGTGGTGATTGATTAACATTAGAGACTTGCGGGGTGACAGCTACGGGGCAAGAAACAATGGAAATGTCGTATGACTGTGATGCTGGTTGCACAGCTCTGTGGATAAACTAAAAGCCGTCATCCTGTCGTGCTGAGTGGGTAACTTGTGTATGAATTATATCTCAATCAGGTGCTAAAATTAGACTTGAAATGAAACTGTGGAATGACATCTCCTTATCACACGATTCCCTCACCCTTGGGACCTTTTTATTGTAGACCTTCCGGCCAATAGCCATGTCATTCACTACTGAGCTGAACCCCACTCCATGGCAGGGATCAAAGCATCTTGCCAGGCTTCAGGTGACAGGGCCTTGGCCACGCTGCTCCCATGGCCTGGAAGGCTTCACGCCACTCCTGCTTCTATCTCGCGGACGCCTGCTCACCCCCAGGTTAACAGGCTGAGGTTCTAACCCAAGGACAATGTGGGGCGGCCAGGGTGTCCCGAACAGTGCGGGGGGTGACGTCTTGGGGTGACACCCCACAGTGGTGAGAGTGCGGGGCTGGCAGGAGACTGAAGGAGCTCGGCCAGCCAGGCTGGGCCTGCAGGTTGTGGGGAGCCCCGGCTTCCTCCTCCTGCTACCCACGCAGTGCGATGCTGAGCTAGTGGGGACAAAAATAAAGCCAGCCATGGAGGGCGCTGGGCCTGACAGAGACCAGAGGCCACTCAGGCCTGGGCCTCTCTGGGTACTCCTGGTGCCAAGCATCCCAGCCCAGAGGGCTCTGGCACTGGCAAGGGGCTGTTGCTGCCCCGGCTCAGGCTGAGGCACGCTGGTGCCTGCAGGGCACCTGGGATGGTGAGGACACGGGCGAGCGGCAGCCGGGCTCAGTGGTCTCAGCACCCTCTGTCCACCAAGAGGGAACCGGGGGAGGGGCTCGCCCCAAAGCAGAGGCAGGGTGGGGTGTCCTGGGGATGCTGGCAGGCGCTGAGGGCAAGTGGCATGGATGCCAAACTACCTGGGAGTCAAACTGTGGCCACAGCCCAGCAAGTCACGTGACTTCTGATGGACCCCCCCCCACACACACACACACCTTTCTCTTTGAGGCCTGGAGTGGCGCTGCCACTGGCACTGGGAGGCCACCCTGGCCCTGCGGCTCTCAAAGGCATCCAGCCGTGGAGGGCGCTGAGAGAGGAGCAGCAAGGTAAAGAGGAGCGGGGAGAGGCTCTGCCCGCAAGCCTGCGCTCTCTGGCTCTGTCCTCCCGGAGCCCCGAGTGCTTCCCCATGAGCACAAGGACAAGGACGGAGAGAACGGAAGGGGTGCTGGGGTCAGGGTGCCTTTATTGGTGAGCAGGCACAGCTGGGGCAGTGGGGCACAGCAGGCCGAGTGGCCACTTGGCAGCATGTCCAGGACCCCCAAGGCAGTAGTTTCCAAGGCACTGGAGTGGCCCACGCCAGCCACACGTGAGGAGCAACGGCCAGGTGCTGCTCCCCAGAGCGGGCTGGGTGCTTGGGGTGGGCCGGGCCAGCCGGGACCCTGCAGGGCCCCTGCAGCTCTGTCATCTTCTCCGGTGGGACCTGGCGGGTTTCTGACGGTAGATCTCTGCGGTGAAGGGCCTGCGGGGTTGGGACAGTGGTTCAGGCAGCTAGTCGGGGCGCTGACCCCCACCCTGGCACCAGCGCCCTGCCTGGGTCCTGCCCACCTGAATACACTGTCCCCTCCCAGGGTGGATGAGACCCCCATCCCCACCGCCCCCCAAAGCGGCTGGGAGTCTTCAGAGAGCAGAAGGGGCAGGATCGGCTGCCTATCCGCAAGGGTTTACAGGCCCCGGGTGCGCCCACTCTGAGCTTCCTGACCTATGACCCAGCCGCCATGGCCCCGCCGGTAGCAGCCTGACTTTAGGGGAAGGTTCTCAAGGGAGAGGCGTGGCCGGCTGGGCGGTCACACAGATGTCCCCCACTACTCACTCCTCGTACAGGATGGCCACCACGTAGACAAGGGCCACCACCGCTGTCAGCAGCAGGCCCGTGGGACTGGCGTGCCTGCAGAGACGAGCCCGAGTCAGCGGGACCCCGCCCTTCCTGCCACCACCGTGTGGGCCCTCGTGCAGATGATGGGGCCCCTGCACGGAATGGGCCGGGCCAGGCTGTTGCCCCTCCCGGGTCCAGCTTTCCAGCGAGGACCAGGGTGCCTGTCTCCGGGATGCCCCACCCCGCCTGGAACGAGGATAGCAGGAGAGCCTCGGGAAGGAGCAAGGGAAGAAGGCGAGAAGGAAGGAGGGCGGGAAGGAGGTTCTGCCACCCCTGCTCACAGGACAGCCTCAAAGCCATCGCCCCGGGACGCTCTGGCTGTAGGGTCCGGGGTGGGAGGATGACGGCACTGTCACACTGGGTCTGCACAGCCGCCTACACACTGTGGGCTCCAGGCACACCCTGCAAGCCCCAGCCAGAGGACAGGAAGCCCAGGCAGAGTACGCTGCAGGTCCAGGGCTGGACAGTGTCTGTCACGAGCTCTCTGCTGGTGACCAGCCTCTGACCTTGCTGTGCTGACGAGCAGTGAGAGCTCATTAGAGGCAGCACGAAGGAGCCTGAGCACATCTGCCTCGGGAGTCCAGAAATAGCTGCTGCCCACTCATCCATTTCTATAGTTACCTCTGATCCCAGGGCCCCTGCAGGGCGGGGTGCTGTGTCCAGATCAGCAAGCCGGAGAGGGGAGGGTGTCTCTGGCAGATACAGGGGGCAGCGGGGGCCAGGCCCCAGGGCCCCAGGGCCTCTGCTCCCCTCAGCTGCCCCATCACAGGCTCTGCTCCAAGCTGCCTGCTCCTACCAGACCACCCCAGGACTGGTGCGCCCCTGCCCCACCTGTAAAGCTAGCGGGGAGCCACTGTGGCCAGGGACAGACAGCCTGCGCAGCTTCTGTGAGGGGCAAGGCCTGAGCTAAACTCTCTCCAGGCTCTGCTTGGGCCTCTCCAGGGAGGGAGGTCACAAGGGCTGAGGACTCCCTGTCCTCACTGGCCCTTTACTCAGAGGGTTTTCACAGGCTTTGAACTTGGGACAGTGGAAGAAACTAGGGAATGGGGTCCCACGCTTCCTCCCGGCAGACGTGGCTCTCAACAGCTGTCTCCTGGCCTGTGAGAAGGGGGCAACAGCCGTGACTGTCCGATGACGGTCACCTCTCCCTCCCCGCTAAAGAGGCCCTTTGTCCCCAGCAAGGTCTCAGGAGAGGCCTGCCCTCAGCTGTGGTCCTAGTCATAGGTCCAGCTGGACAAGGGAACCCCAGAGAGGGTCCCCCTTGATTGATGCAAGGGGACAGCCACCTCACCTGCAGCACGCCTGCTGACAGGCCCCGTGGGTCACCTGCTTTTGGCTCACCCCTATGGAAAAGCCCCCGCCCCTGAGCTGACTGTGAGACTGTGCCGCTGCAGAAGGGCCCGCCTGGTCCCACAGTCCATTTCCCGTTCCTGAAAACATCATCCACGGAAAAGAGCAAAACAAAGCCCCGAGGCTGTGCGGTGTGGCTGGGGAGGCTGGGAACCTGCGAACGGAGCCTGCCTCTGTCCCAGCCTGGCTGTGTGGTCTGGGCCGGCCCTCAGCCTGTTTTCCCACCTGTCATGGGAGATGGACTGGACTGGTTGACCCTTACTTCCTTCCACACGTCCAAAATGAAACAGACCGCAGACCGCCAGCACTTTGGAGGCAGTCCCTGGGATGGTCCTAAAAGCCCTCCCAGCCCTGAGCCCACACCCTGGGGAGCGGGCCGCAGAACCCCCAGGGCCCGCTCCTCTAGGGACAGACACCTGTGAAGCAAACAGGACCCTCCCGGCCCCTCCCAGATTTCAGCCAACAGCGCCAAGCACATGCCCCCCCCCAAGGGCAGCGACCTTGGAGCCCAGGCCCTGTGGGTCAAGCAAGCCCAGAGTCCTCCCCGGGGTGTGGAGGAGGCTGTGACCCGCTGGCCCCAGGGAAGAGTGTACCTGTTGAGATTTCCCCTTCCCGTCTCTGGGAAACTACCTGCTGTCACCCTGGCCGAGCGTGTCCCTAACAACCCAGGGTGGGTGATGTCCTGCTTCCCAGTGAGGAAGCTAACCCCAGAGTGTGCCTGCTGGCTGGAGGGCTGGGAAGTAGAGGCCTGGAGAGAAGATGGCCCGGGCCCCGGGCCCAGCTTTGCGTTCCCCTGGGACCCCGGCCCAGCCCACTGCAGCTGCACACACCTGGATGCTTGGGCCAGGGGAAGCCCCGTCCACGGCCCCACTGGCAGGAGAAGCACAGGCTGTGGGAGGCTGTCGGCGGCCCTGCTGCGTCAGCGTCGGGCAGCTGGGTAATGGCTCATCTCTAACGAGCCCTCAGACCAAGGGCCCCATGCCCCGTAAGCTGGGCCTCCCAACAACTGCTCCCCCAACACACATACACACGCGCATGCACGTATGCACACGCGCCACATGTTTCCAAGAGCCTCGGCCTCGCCAGCCTGAGCCGGGGGTGACTCTCACTCTTGGGCACCAGGCCCTGGTGGAGACACCTGTGCGCTCTGCCCCTGCAGAGCTGAAGAGCTGCCACCTGCTGACTCCGGCGCAGGGGGCCGGGAGCACCGAGGAGGCAGCCGGGTCAGAGAGGCTTTTAGAGGAGGGGACACCACAAGCGGGGCTGGAAGGACCAACCAGGACCAAGTGGGAGGGCTCTCGGCGGGGGCACTGGGCGTGCGTGTACACACACACCGACACCGAGAAGGGCTGGGCGTGCTGGGGCACCAGCGGGCTGCTGGGAGGGCCTAGGTGGAGCGGGGGCGTTTCAGTTTGGGCTCATCCTGGGGTGCCAAGGGGAGATGCTCTGGGAGTGGACAAGGTGGGGGGCTCACAGACTGCCCCTCCCACGTCCACTGCCAGGTCCAGGTGGGAGTGAGTGGCTGGGCTACAGGCAGGTGGGGGGATGGTCCACAGCTCAGGCTGCGGGGTCAGGGACTACCTGGTCTGAACACTGGGTGGGGGCCAGGGCAGGCCCGAGTCCCCTCTATTTTATTGTCACTCTAACCCCAGCAGCCGTGACCCCAGGGCTGCGGTGAGTGGTCTCTGCCGTGGGGGAGGGGCCCTGGGGATTCAGGGGAACAGCTTGCTGTTGGCATCCCACCATTTCAGACCCCGTCTTTAGGGTCCGAGTGCCTCCCTGGTCTCTGCCACGCGGCTCCCAGTGCCTCCTTTGCCACAGGGTCTCTGACCCCCGGGCGTATGTCCCTACACCCTGTCACGTCTATGCCTGGTCAGGGCAGCCAGCAGCCCGGGGGCTCCCTCCCTCCCTGGGGGCCCCGTGCTCAGACCAGTTTCCCTCGGGAACCCTTGGTGGCCAGGCTCCCTTGGGCTTCTTGGTTTGTGGGACCAGCAGACCCCTGAGGGCTTTCCCAGCCCTAATTTTCTAGCTGAGGGCCCACCAAACTCCAGCTCATAGACTGAGAATGCATTTTACATTTCTAAATAGTGAAAATGAGAATCCAGCACTCAGGAGGCTGAAGCTGGAGGATCGCTGCGAGTTCAAGGCCAGCCTGGGCCACACAGTAGGTTCAAGGCCAGCCTGAGTTATATAGTGATACACTGTCTCGAAAACAACCCAAAACACAAAAAACAGAAGAATCCAAAGACTACTTCCTAACACATGAAAATCACATGACGTCCTAATATCAGTGTTCACCCAGGGAGCCACGGGGCCCACACCTCACCATCCATTCCCCCGAGTCTCTGCACTGGGACAGCCGGGTAGCTCTGACCTGCTGGGAAGCTCAAGCTTCAACTCTCTGGCCCTTTAAGAGAAAGTGTGCCAAGCCCTGATCTGGGAGGTTGTTCTGTTGTCACAGATAAGAAACTTGTGGGCAATAAAGGTCCCCATAAAAACCTCACTATGTTTCCACAGGCTCAGCCCCTCCCCCCATTGGCTCGAGGCCGCCCCCTCCCTCCTGGCGCCCAGCGGGACGGGCATGGCACCTGGCACTCACATGAGGGCCCAGCCCAGGTAGTTGGCTGTGCTTCCCCAGTACATGGGGTTGTCCACGATGCTGAAAGGGAACGTGGTCACTCTGGCCTCCTTGAGGATCCCGAAGTAATCACCTGTGGGCAGGAAGGGCAGAAGGGGAGGCCACTCAGCCATTTGTTGTCCTGGTCGCCTGTAACTAAGGGAGGACCTGGGGTGGGCTGCAGGTGCGAGTCCCTGACCTGCAGGAGGCTGCTAATCTGCAGGGAGCTGGCTGGACAGCACACAGGGTCAAAGGGCCACCACAAGCTGCTGAGCCCACCCCTGCACCACCACCTGCTCTGCTCTTCCGGCTCTGCCCTCCAGCCACCCTGGCCCCCCTTTGCGTACCTCCTAGGCTTTGCACACGCTGTTCCCTCGCCTGGGCCAGCTCCTCTCCCTCTGTCCCTCCACCCTTGGAACTGCGTGTAGGCGCCCTCTCCAGAGACAGGATGCCCATCCCTCCCTTCTCCTCACCCTGGCCAGAGGCTCGGCTCTGCCATGGGCTGCTGGGCTACGGCTCCAGGCCGCCTACCACACGCCTCCCCTGTCTCTGGGGGTCAGCCCTGGGGCTGCTGTGTGCCCACCCGGCCGCCTGAAAGAGCTGCCCCAGTGGACCGTCAGCCAGCCAGCCACCGGCCGCCTGCCACGGGGAACATGGAAGAAGCAACAATGGGACCAGACATACAAAGGGCCTGGCAGGGCCCCTGTGCAGGGACCGGCACTGCTGGGCCAGGAGTAGCTGCTCAGCAAAGGACGCTGCTGCACCCTCCGGGCTCCCCTCCCCGACACCCCTCCCTTGCCCCCATCGTGCCCGAGGACAACGCAGCTTGGTCCTGGGCAGAAAGTAGGGCAGCCAGCCTGACAATGGGAAGCCACTGGCAGGAGGGACCTGGGAACCGAGAGCCTGTGGAGCTGCCCAGAGGGCTCTTTCTTCCGAGGAAGCAGGAAATGGGGTAGTGGGGCCTGCAGGCGGTGGCACAGAAACCTGCTTCAGGGTGACTCACAGGGAAGTGACTGCCTCGCCCCACACCCAAAGCCTCCTGGCTGCCCTTCTAGGCCATGTCCCCTGGGAGGACATCCCAGGGCTACGGCTGCCCTCTCCTGCCTGATGCAGCACTGGCCGACCACGGCACCCAGGTGCTCTCCCCGACCCGCCCACGCTGTACTAGCCCTCTGTGTCCACACCCCCAGCCCTGCCCACCAAGGGCTGGCCCCTCGGCTCTTCCCCGGGACAGTACTGCGTCCCCTCCCCAGGCAGCCCAGCCCTTCCCCGCCTGCAGGCCCTGGAGGAGTTCCCTCTGTCACTCACTCCTCCTCTTGCAGCTGAAAGGAGGACCAAACGGTCCAACCAGCCCTACTGGTCCCTGCTGTCCACTGCGAGGACCCCTTCCCCGACTCCTGCCTCTCTGGGAAGGGAGCCTCAGCTGCAGGGGCTTCTGCCTGACCTCCAACTCTGCCCTACCACGTCCCTGTGCAGCCAGGGTCACTGCCACCTCACTTGCAGGCCTCCCTCCTCCCTGTACGCGCCTGCCGGCTCCGGGACTTCGCCCTCCTCTTCCCAGGCCCCTCGTCCAGGATGACTTCCTGCAGCTTCCGCCTGAGCAAGAAGCCCTGACCCACACTAACACTCCGGGGCTGCAGGTGCCGTGGTCCAGGCAGGTCCCACCACAGGTGATCCAGGGCGCCACACTCAAAGGTCGCTTGCTCCCTCGGGGTACTACCAGTCCTGAGCACACCATCGGGGGCAGCAGAGCCTCGGGCTGGGAGCCCACGCCCCCTGTGCACAGGGGCACTGGGCACGCTGTGCCAGGCTCTGTGGAACTCTCCCGGGCCCTGGAGCAGGCGGAGGCTTGGAGCCCTGCCAAGCCTCCGTATCTGGCTGACGGGAGGGAGGGGAGCACCAGGCTTCCCAGCCCCTGCTGGGTGCCCTGGCAGCTGTGCGAACCCCGGGGTGCAGCCTGCACACTGGGACAGGGTCTCCTGGGGACAGGGCTGCCACCTTCCTCAGTCCCCGTTCCCAAGCACCCCTTGCTCTCCAGCCCCACTGCTGGTGTCCCCCTCAGCTGCTTTTCCTCCTAAACGCCCAAGGCCTGGAAGCTGCCACTGTCACGCAGGAGGCCGCATTTCCCCAGGCCAGCCCTGGGCGCCCAGCCTAGAACCCGAGTCTCCGGCCACGGGAAGGGCGAAGCGACAAGGACACGCCCTGCTGCGCCCCGCAGTCGGGAGGGAGACGGCCGGGCCTCCTTGGCTCCCACGGACGTCACAGCTCGCAGGTGGTGGCCACTGTGCCCCACTCCTCTCCGGACCTTCTTACCTAGGAAGGTTCCCGTGAACCCCAGTGCGAAGAAACTGGAAAGCACAAACACACTGCCCACACTCAGGAGTGCCAGGCCCAGGCAGTAGGTAGTGGGGTTGTCCAGGCCCTCCATCTTGGGCTGGCTCAGCATGGCCTGTGTGAAGCTGCAGGCAGGGGACAGGGAGAGTCAGCACGTCACCACACACGGACAAGGACCCGAGCCAGCGGGGGGCCCAGGGCTCACACACTCAGAGCCCACAGGAGCAGCTCCGCGGGCGCCTGGGCAACCTGGACGGCACTGTCCCGCCCTCACTGCCCCTGGACTGGGCACAGAACAGGGCCCCAGGCCTGTCAGAGCTGGTTTTCAAGAGAAGCCAGAAATCCACAGTGGTACATACCTGTCAATCCCAGCACTCTGAGAGGATAAGGCAGGAGGATTGCAAACTCAAGAACAGCCGGGCAATGCAGTGAGACCCTGTCTCAAAAAAAGGTCTGAGGACGTTGCTCAGCATAAAGACCCCAGGTTCAATATCTAGTACTACAAGAGAGAGAAAGAGGGGGGAGAGAGACAGACAGAGACAGGGACAGAGACAGAGGCTGAGACAGAGACAGAGGAAATCCTGGCCTGTCTGTGGATACCCTACATGTTAGGAGTAGGCCAGTCACGCAGACCATCTGAGAGTGCACATTAGCAGGCTGGGGGTGACCCAAGGGCCGCCTGTGTGCAGACTCTGATCCTGTGGATCAGAGCAACGTGGACTCCAGAGGAAAGCGAGGCTCAGAGAATGTGCAGGCGGGGAGCAGGCTGCGCTGCCCCTCCTGGCCGCTCATGTCCCGCACCTGTGCTGTCCCGCTCCTGTGCTGTCCCGCTCCTGTGCTGTGCCATACGTGAATCTGGACGTCACGGCCCCAGCAGATTCAGAGTCTGAGGCCTGCGGGCGGGGCAGTCTGCACTGCTGATTGGCCCCCATGGCTGCCACACAGGCCTGGCCACACCTGAGCAGCTGACCTGAGTTTTAAGGCCCCTTCCATGTTCTTTTCCCACCAAGTCCCCCATTAGGCTCCTTTTGGGGCCGAGGCACTCAAAGCCTTGCTGAGGGGGTCGGCTGACCGGAAGGGTGACTACGGGGCTCATCAGTGAGTGGGGGTGCAACACCTCCACCGACCGCCTGCTGGAGGCCTGGAGCAGGTAGGTGAACAGGCTGGTGAGGCTTCTGCGCCTCACTAGGAGGGTGTGGGCGCTGGTGCAAGGTGGGCAGAGGACACAGCCAAGCAAAGGATGGGTAGGCACAAGCAGTGTGTGCACCAAATATACACCTCCCTTTCTCGCCGCCAGCAGGGCCCTTGCAGGAGATGCAGAGATCTGCCGCTCACAAAGAGCGACAACTCCTGCTCTGCACTGGGTACGTACTGGCAAAGGCAGCTCACTGGCTTCCCCCAGTCCCCTCACCCACTCACTCATCTATCCATCCACTCGCCCATCTGTACGTCCATTCATCCATGCCCCACCCATTGGTCTACCTCCATCCCTCTGTCCATCCACCCACTCACCCATCCATCCATCCACTCACCCATGAATAAATCCACTCACCCACCAGCCAGCCAGCCACTCTCCCACACATTTATCCATCCATCCACCCACCCACACATCCATTCATCTATCCATCCATCCATCCATTCACATCCATCTATCCATTCATCTACCCACCTCCCCATCCACTTCTCCATCTACCCTATTCATTCACCCATCTATCCATGCACCAACCCACCCATCCACCTACCTACCCATCCACCTACCCACCAATCTCTACACCTACCTTTCCACTGCATCCACGCATCCACCATCGATCTATCCACCCACACACACTCTACCCATCTGCACATTTGTCCATCCATCACAGCGTATTCGTTTGCCAGCCTCTTCCAGTAGAAGACTCTTCCACCTTCACTCTCTCCCTTGATACAGGAGATAAGGCATGGCAAGTCTGGCTGGGGAAACGAGCTGGACCTGTCAGTTACAAACAAGACCCCAGAACAGTGCCAAATAATTCTCAGGGTCTTGTACGTGGAACTTCTTGCAGGCTCCCATGAGATGTAGACAGCATAAAAGACCAACGCCATGGGGAACTCGCCTGCATGACTGCGCACGGGTGGCCCATGCAGCAGAGACGCAGCGTGTACTTTTATTTTTGCTTTTATCTTCTGTTTCTCTTGTTCTGCCCAAGTTTACTCTGCAGAGCTGGTTTCTCCCACACCCCTTCACCCCTCACTTTTCAAGTAAACTTTTGGCACCGTTTCTGGCTTGTCTCACCCAACTCTTTGTCTGAGGCGAGAAGGCCCTGGAATGCGTTTGCCTGGTGAACCATTTTAAAGGAACTACCCGACAACAGCCGGGTACAGGCTGTGGTCACACTGTCCTCACGTGGCACTAAACACAGCCGCCAGAACGCTTCCCTCCGACTAGACTTTCAGGTCATGGGCACCAGGCTGTTTCTCCTTCTCGGTCTCTCTCCTTGGCACACGGCGCAGCCCAGCAGATGTGCCAGAGGGGAAAGCAGGAGGCCTGGAGACAAGCGCCGCGGCAGAGGCCTGCAGCTGACCTGTCCCCAGCGGCGCATGTGCGTCAGGGCAAACTCCGCTGCTGGTCATGCTGCCCACACCCCCACTTTCCACCCACCACCCTCCTCCTCACCCGCTGCTGGCTGGCTCAGGGTCACCCTACCCTCCGACGGAGCCGCCGGCTTTAATTCAGGGCCATGCTGCCATGGAGCCAGGCAGGCATCACGGGCGCCTGTGTTGTGAGGGGGCCACACCCACACCGTGCCCCTAGGCAGCCCTGGGACTCCGCAGACCTGGCCAATGAGGACATCAAGCTTGGTACTCGCAGCCTGGGCACACGCTCCCCCTTCCCTGAGTGCAGGAAGCGGTGTCGGAGCGGGCGCTGAGAGGGGCAAGCCCGGGCCAGGCAGAGCTGGCGCTCAGGGGACAGGGTGTGTGTGGGGCTGAGTGGGGAGCGGGTACTGTTATGGCCCCGGCCGCTTGCTGTGAGCTCTCCAGGGTCAACAGTGGCTGCAAAAGAGCCGCAGGCCCCGGAGGGAGAGCGGAATGGGGCTGCAGTCAGCCGCGAGCTCCCAGCCTAGTCCTCTCCTCTGAGATGCGCCGGTGACCCCGCCCCACCTCCCTGCGCGAGGCTGTTGCCGAGTGACCGCACACACACGGAGCAGCTCACAGCTCCGGGGGTGGCAGGCCCTGGGCCGAGCTCGGGGAGGGCGCATGGGGGCTGCAGCGGTCTGAGAGGGGCAAAGGAAGACCGTTCCAGAAAGGGGCCGGGCCCGCTAAGGCTGGACCGGGGCAGAGGACAGAATGGTGGAACTGGAATGGCTTCCACGTGCACACGGCGGGGAGCACAGAACAGGGAAGCCAGTCGGGTGGTGCAGCTGATGGACGCGCCGGGGCCAGGCCCGGACCGGGAGGCCAGAGGGTCACTCTGGAGGGAGGCCTGGCGCAGGGCTGCAAGGCCTCGGTTTCATGCTCTGCGCTGGACCATCTGCAGCTTCCTCTGCCAGAGAACTCATCTGGACTGCACACCAGGCAGCGGGACCCGAAGCTCTCGGCACATTTCCCGGCTCGGCTTGGAAAGGAGATGATCTGCTTAGAAGCAGGTGGCAATTCCTGATGAGGACGGGCAGGTTTGGGACCAGGTAGGGGGTAGGAGAACCCCAAACAGCTGCTCGGCTGCCCCAGTCTGCCCAGGGCCCTCTGAGATGACCGTTCCTGGCCTGTGGCTCCAGCCCGGGCAGGCCGGCAGAGAAGGGCTAGCGCTCCCTCCAAACAGCAGGCTGAGGCTGGGCTCCCTGCAAAGTGCGTGGAGGGTCATTTGTTCCAAGAGTCTGCAAAACGTCCACAGGGGCTCCTCCCTGGTGGTCCAGCCTGAGCCACCAGCCACAAACGCTCTGTGACACACGTGGCTGGCTTTCGGGAATCGATGCCCAATTAGGCAGCAAGCGCTTCGGTTCCCGCAGTGAGCCAGGAAAGTACACGGCATTCCACTCAGGGGATTAGAGGAGGGACACAGAGCTCTAGGCCGTGCGCTGCACCGCACAGTGAGGTAACAGGAGCAATTTCCCCTGGAAATAGTCTGCGCCGGGCGGGGGTGGGTGCAGACTCATGCCTGTGCCTCGGGTTCTATTTCTGTAACTTGGATGCAGCCTTCAGTCACCAGTGTGACCTGAGGCTGCCTGTCCCCTGCTCCAATGAGATCCCAGAAACCCGGTGGGAGGCAGGAGGTAGGGGCAACCGGTGCCCGCGGCCCACAGTCACTTCCCTGACTTCAGCCCTCCGAGTGGTCCTCATGGAGCCATCTGTGCCCCGGGGAGCACACGCTGCCACCCGCTCCCTGTCCTGCCCTCGTCTCTTGCTTAGGTGGACTTGCTCTTCACACTCCAACTCTGAGGCCAGCTCTAGCCACTTGTGAAATTAGGCGTTTGAGGGGCTTCTTCTCCTAGTGCAATTAAAATAAACAAGTACTAAAACAGCAACGAAAAGTTATGCCACCTCCTCAAAGTGTCTCGCGAAACCACCAACAGCAGAGACTGTGCTCCACATTAGGGATAACGAAACGGAGGCAGGGGCGGGCCGGGGAGGAGCACAGGCAGGCGGAGGCTTCTCTTTCCTCAGGCTTTGAACAGAGAGGGCTCCAGGCTCCCTGGAAGGCGCTGGTGACACGCAGGTCTGGGAATCCCGCCTGAAGAGCCTCTTCGGGTCCCGGGAGAAGAGGCAGCCTCCATGCTGTGGCAGGCTGCTCTTCTTACCATCCCGGCTGCAGAAGCTGCTCCATCCGGCCCCCGGACCTGGCCTGGCCCTGGCTGACATGTTCCTCTCTCCCTCCTCACTTCCCCAGAACCCCCAAGGCCTGACCCACACTCCCGTTCCAGTTCTCCAGCAGCCTGCATGCACGGGACTTCCACAACGTGACCGATGGAAGATGCACGGCCTCCGTGACCACCTAGGCAAGCCTCCTCCCACGGCTATCAGCTGTCCAGTGGAAGACAGCAGCGGGTCAGGGCTGCCCTTTGAGGCCAGCTCTAGTCAAGCCGACCACATGCCTTCTACCAAGGCCTTCACCGAACAGCCCTGCGGGCTCATTAGAGAGAAGCAGCTCTAG